TACTCATGCCTGCTTATGCACACTCATTCTGTCTCCCCTTGTCTGCTCTGCCACCACTTCCCTAAAAGTCTCCTCTCCCTCTTCTGTCTTCTGCTTCTGTGAAATAAGCTAAGGATCCTATGCTTCCCTAACTCGCAGGATGCAGGTCAGCAACTAGGTAGTAGTGGCTCAGATGCCTTCTTTCTCACCTTCTCTCATCCTCACGACTCTACTCTCTAGAACTAACCAATAGACCTGGCATCCCAGCAAGAAGTGGGGGCTTCCCTGGTGTTTTGCTAAGCAAGGACCCTGAACATAACTACTCACAAACAACTGATCTCTCAGGCTGCCTGTAGGATCCTAGGACACCAGAATCTTCCAGACATCCTCCTGGCCACCCTCAGGGCCAGTCTTGTGATCTCGTGTCCTCCCTGCTCCGTTATTTGAGAAACTATCTTCCTGCCAGCATTGGGCCAGATGCCCTGGACATCAGTGACCAAGAACAGGCTTCAAAAGGCTAAGTGGAAGGTGACCATCTTCAAAGGGCCTCAGACTTCCCAGAAAGCTCTGGCATGCAGCCCTGACCCCAGGTCAGTGCTTCCTGCAAATGAACTTGTGATGGCTCCATGAGGGCAGGGACCATGTCAGCCTGGCTGATGGCTGCATCACTGACAACCCCTCACATGCTGCTGGAAGACAGGCAGCACTCAAACCTGATCTGCCGAGGTCTACCAAGAATGTAACAAAAATCACAGGTTTTTGAGCCTTAGTTTTAGAGTCAGACAAACCTGAATTTGAAACCTTCCAGCTATACCATTTACACTGATCACATGCCAGCCACTGTATCCCTCTACAAAATGGGGATCATCCTGCCTACCTCAAATAAGCTCATGAGCATTACATGGAAACTATATAGAAAGCCTTTACCCCAACTCATGGCTGGGAAGAATGTCTTTGTTTTTAGCTCATAAACACTCATGTATCTCTCACTGTATGCCAGACACTATACCCCAGATCACAATTAGTTCATTTAATTCTTACAATCTTGTGAAGTAGGATCTATTTAAGTCCCTTTTGCAGTTGAGGAAATAAAGGCACAAAAAGGAAAAGCGCCTGCCCAGAGTCTGATATCTAGATGTGGCAGGGTTAGGATTCATAACAATTCCAAAGTCCAGAATTTTAAGTGCTACACTCTTCTGTCTCTAAAACAAGCAGTCAATGAACGTTAGCTCTTGCCCCAACCCTGGTTTGATTACTGGAGATATCAGACCATATTGCCAGACTAGAATTTTCACTTGCAACAGAAACACATCCAGCTCTTCCCAGGGCTCACTAACTTGTCTTGTTGCAAACTATGACCTGCTCCTATGAAATTCAGTTCCAGACAGGTTTGTGGATGAAGAAATTCTCTCCTCCTTTTCCTACTATCGTCTCCTCCAACTATCTACCAGAAAGAGGCATACATCTATGTTTTTTAAGAAAAAAAGTAGTAACAGAAAGGAGTGAGCGTGAGCTTGCAAGCTCTCAGGAACAAAGTCGAAGAGTTCTCACCCCTCTTCTAATTACCCCTTAGAACAATTGCCTACTCATAGTAGGGTGCCCAAAGCAGAGGTAACCTGTTCACATGGAGACCAGTCCCATAAAGTCTCAGCTTCCCCAAAGACCCAGGTAGCAGAGAGAGAATAAAGCCATTGCTTCTAATGGCCAAAATTTCATCATAAAGAGAGTTTTCCATTCTCTCTCTGTGAGATCTGCCCAAATGCCAAGGAAATTTCATTACCAAAATATCAGCACTGCACTTGACCTTGCTTCTCCAATGGCCTGGGATTAGTGACATCACACTGCACTCTACAAATGCTTAGGAGTATGGAAATAACCCCCTCAAGTTAAAAAAAAGGCACTTGGTATTTCACTAAAAGGCATTAAATTATTTTGATTTTATTCCACGGCATCCGAAATGCTTTCAATGTCTTATTTTCAAAATCCTTAGAGGAACAGAGACTCCCTGGTGGCACAAGGGGTTAAGCACAGCACTATAAAGCAATCCGCAGCCTCTGCAGCACAAGTTCAATCCCCGGCCAGCCAGGGAGCAACACACGTGGCGCAGCAGACCTCTTTTGACTCGCCCGCTGCTCCCTTTAGCAGTGTACTTCTGTCAATCTGCCTGTTCTGTTCCTCACTCTGTCTCTGGTGAATCCTCTCACCCCCCCACCCCCGCATCTCTGGCCTGTATCCCAGCTCTTGCATGAATAAATAAATCTTTAAAAAAAAATAAAAGCCCTTAGAGGAATAAGTATGCTTCTAGAACCTTAAGGAACCCCCATGCCTGGTCTAGTTTGTGTCCTAAGAGATGGACCAGGCCAGAAGCCAAGAACAGTAGCTCTGACCCCACATGCTCTTATGACTCAATCCCTGAGTGGCCAGGGCCTTACAATGTGATCTGCCTCCCAAATCAACTGTCTCTCATCCTCAAAGTCACAAGCAGGTCACAGGCAGCTCCTGGGCACCTGGGGCAGTTCCTCAGAAGGGGTCCAGTCTCTATTTTCCGTAGCCCTGCTAACTAACCGCCACGTTTCCCTTCCAAAGGAACAGTCAAAGCAAAGCTCCTCTACGTTGGCCACAGAAAGGAAATTGAGGGGGATGTTTTTTCCCCAGGCAGCTGCCTGGAGGTGGAGCTGGCCTCAAGGCCACTGTCATAAATGCATTTCCTGCACCTCCAATTGGAATTCATATACCATTCTGCTTCCAAGTGCTGCCCACTCAGGAGTTTAAAGCAGGTAGACACCAACACAGCCAGTGAAAGTAACACTGACTTCAAGACAAAAATGATCCATACAAGAAGAACGCCTGCTCTCAGGAAGATGGAGAACTGGTTACCCTGGGAGGCAGGACCGGCTCACACAAGGAGCTCCACATCTGCATAGGGACTGATCACAGAAGCACCATAAAATGTAAAAGCCCAGAGCACTCATGGACACCATATACTTCATCTTCATTTCAAACAGAGGAAAAAACTGAGACACAGACTGATGACAGGACTCAAGTTCACAGTTGGTAGATGCCTGAAATGCAAAGCTTCTCACAGTCTGTTCTTGTAGCCTGCTGCCTCTGAGACCCCATTACCAGCAAGAGTTCCTACACAATTACTTTTCCAAAATATTATTTTACATGGAGTTATAGGCAAAATGGTTAAATCAACCATGAGCACAACCTAAAAAATAAAATCAACAAAAAAGAAATTAAACTTGGAGCTAGGAAAAATGAACTGCTGTAAATTATGCTCTCTGTCCTGAAAGTTTGTTCTTGAAGACAGGGGTGACTCCCCCAGTATTTCACATGAGAAGCGAAAGGGAGCAGTTATCCCCAACCAGGACATGCAAGCCTCAGCCAATATTCTAGATTGAAACAATTTCTTTGTGAATAAATGGAAGTTGCGCAAGGTAGTAGGACCTGAAGCTGCCTTCACTGCTCATGAATTCGGCTTCAAAAACCAGTGCTCTCCTTTGCCTTTCCCAGAGGGAGGCTGCATTATTAGGTAAGACGGCAAGACCCTGAAAGCAAGCAGCCAGGCTGAGGAAGGGTAGGAAAGATATACACACAGAGAAAAGGGGGGGCCCTGGAACTTTCTAACCATAGCAGCACCTGAGCCATTTCACCGAGTCTCTTTCACTAGATGCCAAGAAGCTTCTCTGGCCACAAAAGATGGCTGGAAAGCACAAAACACACACTGAAGGCTTGGGTTCTCTCTCTCTCCTGTGTATGTGACACTGGTAGGCTGAGACTCCAATGCTACAGAAAGCAAAATTTTCCTTGTTTCCATTACATCAAGCAAGTTGGAGCTAGGAGGGCGGGGCAGGGGCACAGCTGGTGGCAGCTGCACCACCATCTGCTCTCTCCTCAGTAGGGTGTGCTACTTTGAGCTGCAGCCGCCTACAGCTCCTGATAGAGGAGGCCCAGTGTTAAAGGTACAACACCCCATTATGGAAAAGCTTTCCAATTATTTAGAAATAAATCACTCTCGTGGTAAGTTAGAAACCTCAGGTAGGTGGCTGAGCTGGTTCTCCTTGGGTTTAGGCTATTTGTTTGCTTCTCTTTTAGACTCAAACTCTGTCAACTCAACGTATCCAATTAGACAAGCAGAATGTACAAGCAACCACCTGCCCATCTGCTTCCCAAAAGGTAAGCAGCCAAAAGTACATGTCTGCAGCTGGAAGCATTCGTGGAAGAGGGGAAAACCCAAACTCCGCCCACAGGCCGACAGGTGGGTGGGTGCACACTACTGCCTTTGGCCTCCTAAACCATCTGGTTAAGCGCTCTTGCCCTGTGGACACTCTTGGAAGGTGCCACACTGCTGGGAATCTCCTTAATGGGAGAGACTGGTGAGAGGAGCCCAGGCAGAGGGTTAATGCCTTGTCCGGCCATTCAGCTGAAAACTGGCAACAAAGCAGCAAATTGGTGATTCAAAGGTCTGATCCAGCCCATGTGCATGTTTTATCTGGCTGGTACAAGGTTGCGCTTAAAAAAAAAAAAAAAATCACTGGCTCTTAAAAGCAGGATTTTATATATAAACATCTAGATTGCTAGCTCTTCTTAGAGGAAAAAAAGGAAAGAATCAAGTGATCTGGCAACACCTGGCAGCACCAGGTCCCCACTTCCACGTGGCACCAGCCAGGTAGGGGAAGCACTTCGTTCAGATGGGGTGTGCATTCTGAATAGCGAGTCACCACATCTGGTGTCTGCATATGCCAGTGCAAATACCTATGTTCCTACCTGGACGTTGACAGCTTTTGATATAATGGCATTTGGTGTGTAGAAGGAGAAACTCCTGGAGAAAGATTTCCCAGTGGTCCTTTATTGATTCTCCTCTTCAGCTGAGATTTAGTCCCCAGGATGGGCACCGAAGTTCTACAGAGATCATTCAAACCAATACCTGAATAGATCTCAGAAAAAGACTAGCTACCACTGAGCCTGGTCTACCGAAGCAGATACAGTGTTTCAAAGGAGCATTCCAGACCACTTACCATACATCTTGCCTTCATCTGATAAGATGATTTTCCTCCTCCCACATGGTGGATAGATAGCCAAGGCTTCCTGAAAGCTCTGCTCGATGTCCGGGCTCCAGACCCCTTCTGCATCGTTGTCAATTGGCTTATCTGCAGAGTCGCTCATCCTTTCCATATTTTCGGCAGGGCTCTCGCTGCCGCTCCAGCTGCTGGGCTCAATTTTGGCGGTTGGATTTTCCAAGCCGAAGCCTGGAGTCTTTTCAAGAAAATAAACCTAAGAGAGAAATAAAAGGGGAATAAGGATGCGGTAACCACCTGCAGACGCTGTGGCTAGTGCCACGGCACCTTCTTCAATCACCAGTTTTGCTCGGAGAATAACCCCTAGCAGAAAATACAGAATTTTGAGATCCAAGAGGCTTTTGTTCTTGATGTACCAGGTTCGGCACCCATACAGAAACACAAGGGCAGGCAGAAGCTGGATAATCTTCGCAGATGAGAGAAAATTTTCATCTGAGTACGGTGCTCGCTCTGAGTTGCAAGTTCACAGTGAATCATGCAAAAACATTTACTAAGTGCCTATCTACCAGGAGCACTTTGCTCAAGCATAATCAAATCTTCATAGCAGAACAGGTTGTTTAAAAGAAAATAAAGTAAAACAAAAGATGTCCGCCTCACTGTGGCAACTGGCATAAATCTGAAATGTCAAACCATCCCAGTATTTGTCACTGACATCAGCAAGATGCAAGATGGTGGCAGGAGGCAGGAAGGAAGTTGGGAGATTGTTTTGTTACCACAAACACTCACTCTACTAGACCGGCAACGCAGTACCTGCTATTCTATAGCATTTCTCTGCAGACCTTTTACCCTGCACACAGTCGGGTCATTTTACCACTCTAGGCTTCTAGATCATAATCCTGAGCAGGGACTAAATTGTACCCACTCCTTCCTTCCCTGCAACAACTCCCACAAGTGCCCAGCACATCTGCAGAGACATTTTACACCTACATGGGTCTCTTCATCTGGTAGCCTACTCAGAATTCCTGATGGCATGAAAACTGAGAGGGAGCCTTCATTTATTTTTCTGTAGTACTGAAAATTACAGAGGCAAAAGAAGTCTTTCTCAAAGATTTATTCTCCTTAAATTTATGCACATAACCTCTGGCCATGAAGGGATAAGCTTTCCAAACAAATGTCAAACTGGCACAAACACCAATGTGAAAATGATCTAATCTAGTACCCCCTGCTGTCTGCACACTAACATATCAATATTCCTTTGTTGAAAAGGCATCAGATCATTAATTCAAAGGCTTCCCCCAAAAGGGGAGAATTGCTCCTGGGGATTGATCAAAAAGGGGGAAGCAACAGGGTCTGAGTAGGCTTAGTAGAGCTTACTTGGTGTGACCAGCATCTCTATCCCCTTCTGCCCTCTGCAACATTACAAGAGAGGCACCCCCAGGGAGGGAAGCAGATGCTGGGGGCCCCCAGGCACTGCTCCATGTCCCAGAGCAGTCACCGGAGAGTCAAACAACCTGCTTCTCTTCTCTTCTCTTTCCCACCTGTATCCCTTTCCACGCCCTCCCCCACCATTATATCATCAGATCCCAGGTGCAGGAGCTCCGAGCACATGAACATTACACAATTAAGGCATAACTAGTGGGCGCTTTTGGCTTCTTACCTGGACAGCGTTTTAGATTTGGCAATACCTGGATGAAAGGAACCCTCAAGGTTGTGTGCCTTTAAGTGCTGCCACCAAGCAGTCATTTTTTCATTCAAAGTACCAATCAGGGAAATATTTACTACTCCTTACCAACACATGTACATTTACACAAAATGTTAAAAACTGCCAAAATTTAAGGTATAAATTATGTCGAGATGTGTTTGTGAATGACCCTCACACGAACTCTACAATGTCGCAAGTGCAGGCCTTTTGAATTCTTATATTATTTTTTGTTGTTGGGATCTCAGAGTCTTATGAAAACTCAAGCTGAACTGTTACCCTATATACGAGAGTCTGTACTAGCTCCAGAGTGGTTTACTGGAAAAATCAGAAGACTCCTTAAGCAGTGGCTAACTTTACCTTTTCCCTCTCTACCTTCCTCAAAACAAAACAAAAAGAAAACAACACACACAAACACAAAGGCCTGTCCTTCAGCTCTGGAGGCTCAGCGCAATAAGAATTCACTCTAGGGAGCCCCATTTTAAGATAAACAATGGAAGTGCCCAGCACTCAACCACCAAGGTAAAGGGAAGGAATCCAGCAGGATGGGACAGGGCAGCTGAATCGGGAGCAGGGACCTTTATTTGCCTAAAAGGAACATTACTAAATAACTGAAAGTCTCAGAGTCTCCAGATCACAACACACAAGCACCCCCTTAATCCAATGTGTGAAGCTCCCCCTGACACTTAGCATGGGTCTTACAGTCTATGCTTTAACGTAGACAGTGGCAGGAAACCCAGCACATTCCCCTAGGTCTACCTCCTTCACATGGAGGTGTTGAACTTCTCCCACATATTAGACTAAAACTCATCTCCTGGCTAATTGCTCCCCATCCATCCCTTGAGGATCTAGTCATCCCTTGGGAAAGCAAATCTCCCACAAAGACACCCACTAAGGTCTAAAAGGAGCAGTCCCCCAGGGTCCTGATTGTGTTCCAGACCAGACCAAATTCACATCATCCCTCTGCCTGTGCCACACCCCAGCTTGCCCACAATCTCCCATAAATGGCACTCAGAGGTGGATTTATGAGTCATAAAACCTCTAGGTTTCCATATGTTAAGTATTCTTCCTCAAATTCCTCTCATGCAATTGGTTTAGGAGTTAAAAGTCAGAATTTATATTTATTTCTACTACATCCATTATTTTCAGTGTAAGCCTATGGTTTAAGGCAGATTAAGATCTTTCTGAATTTTAATAGCCAAGTTAGCATTCTTAGACATTGAACAACCTCTGCTGAAAATCTGTCACATGGAGAGGGTACAGACCCATTTTGTGGAAGTTCAAAATTGATTCTAGCTCAATAGAAGGAAAAAACACGTGCTAGTTGAACATACATGATAGGCAGCAGAATCTTGTAGATAACCCCTTCAAGTTATTTCCAAAGTAAATGTCCCAAGTCCTTGGTTGTTTGGAGAATGCAGTACTGACTAGCATTAACTGACTGATTCACTTACCGTACAAGCACTGTTCTAAATACTCAAATGTTTTTATTCATTTACTATATAGGGGAGAACTCTGTGTCCAGGCTCTTGCAATTTGGTCAACTGGAGCGCAACAGGATGGAATTACCCTGGACAAAGACCAAGACACAGTTTCAGAAGCTACCAGATACATAATCCACAGAGTTATACGGGCCCTTGGTTTTACAACCCAATTGTAAGATGAGGCCCTATGTAGGCAGAGGGTTTCCAATCACAAGACAGGAGCTGGATGAGAAAAGCTTCTCGTACTAGATACCAAAATAACCACTCTGGCATTCCACCCATCCCTCAGGTCCCTTCAAGGCCAGCTCAAAATCCACCTCATTCTGGAAGCCATTGTTTTCTGTAGTGACTCTGAGAGGATACACACATTAGGCATATCCTAAAAATGTGTGGATTCAGTAACTACCCAACCTACCTGGCTTCTGGATGAGCAGCAACAAGCCCCTACTTATTACCAACAGTAGGAGCTATTTGAGTGAATTATGCACAGAATCTGTGCCTGCAGACTCATATTCTCCCTTCCTCACCCATCCTTTGACCAAGCACCTTTCTTTCAATTTAATAAATGAAGAACCCTAGAGAGTTGGAAGATGGGGGAGGAAGGCATGGTACTAAGACTCAAACTGATCTGGTTCCCTAATCAGGCTCAGTCACTAGCCATGCAGCCCAGACTACACTAGGTAAACTCACAGAAGCTTGGGTTTTAATTTGTAAATTGAAAATAATGAATTATATTCAAACCCAATTTGAAAAAATCACTAAAGGTTGGAAGGATCTACCCCACAGGATTGTCACAATGGATGAAGGTGAATAGAAGTGTAAAATCAAGAACAGATGTTCACCTGTTTCAAGACCATCATCTCTGCACAGTGGCATGTACTTTGTAATAATGGGATGGTGAAGAAACGAAGGCGCTTCCAATGGTTCCCTTCTCAGAAGTAAATTTGCACAGGGTCCTCTCTTCCTTAAGGTTTTCAAGGACTAATTGGAAATGTTAAGCTGGCAACAAACACTTCTGTTTCTAACATTCATCTAAAATCTGAACTTAAATTCACCAGTTCAATACTTTTCATTTTCTTCTGGGAAGTCTGATTCAGGGGAAGAGAGCTAAAACTAAATGAATACTTACAAGGACAGAGCATAGAACCCCTGGTTGAAGATATACTGTGTACCATGTAACCCTGGGTGCCTCAGTTGCCATCATTAACACTTTTCTTAAAATGCTTTTCCTGAAATTCCCCCAGCCACACTACAACAAACTCTACAAGAAATGTCACCAGTGACCCAGGTATTCCTGCTAATTGCTTCAACAATCATACTTCTCCCTAAATGGGTCATTCTTTCATAATTACCCACTGACCCTTCAAGAAGGGCCACATGAGTACAATGGAATGACACCACATGTATATTCAAACATACATCTTTTAATATAAAAGCCTGGGGGAAGGAGTGAGTGGGACAGTAAGTGCTTCTGACACCAACTCTGTACAAGAAACAAGGAAGGGTAATACACAGGACAGGGGAATGTATTGCTTCCTTCACCTTAATTCTTGTGGGTCTCTCATAAGTAGCTCACCTATTTATATGGGAGATTTAAGAGCTCCTAAATAAAAGAATTAGTTTTAACTAATTCTCATGATTAAAGAAATGCCACTGAATATGGGGGTCAGCAAAAAAAAAAAAAAATCCATACAGCTTGTTTTAGCTAAAATCTATGAGGCAATAGAAGTAAGAGCTCATCTAGGAATTAGGAATCTGTCTCTCTTGTGAGTAACTCAGGACCATGTGGTACTTGTAGCCCCCAGTGCCTCAGCGTCCATCATCAGAGAAGACCATCTTAGTATCTCATCCCCTTGTGTTCTCACAGTTTTTACTGAAAACAGAAATCAGTAAGTTAGTTTGTCATTGCTCCCCCTTACCCACACCCCAGTGTCCTTCAGGACATTGTCTGTTCCACTCACTATAGGATCCCACACAGACCTGGTACCATAAATAGTCAATGAGAGAAAGGATGAACCAACAACCAGATAACATGGACATCTTTTTTATTTTTTATTACATGAACATTCTTTG